AAAAAAAGCCCCCCCCCCCCGGGGGGGCAGAGAGGGGGCCAAAAGGCCCCCCTTTTACCCCCCCCGGGGGGGGACCCCCCCAACCCAAAAAAGAACCCGCGGGGGCCCGGGGGGGGGACCCCGGGCTGTTAAAAAAAAACCCCGGGGGGGGGGGGCTTTTATACCTGAAAACCCGGGGGGTGGGGGGGGCGCAACCCGGCTGCGGGGGGGGTCCACACAGGGTAAGGTGGGGAAGACCGCCAAGAAGAGGCGGCGGCGGCGGCGGCGGCGGCAGCGCGCGCGCGGCGCGCGCGACGGGGGGGCGGAGCAGCGACCGCTGGCGCGGCCGCTGCTCCGTCTGTGCCAGGGACGCGCGCTCTGCGCCGCTGCAGAGCGCGCGCGTCAGGGCAAGGGGCATGCGTGGCGGCGCGGGACGCGTGGCGGCGGCGGCGAGCACGCTCCGTGAGCGGTGAGGCGGCCGGGCGAGGGCGCGGCGGGTGACGGGTCAAGGGAGCAGCCCACACCCGGCGTCGCTTTTTGAGCGACGCCTGTGGTACGCCTGCGCAGGGGCCGCAGGGCGGTCAGTTGTGGGGCGAGGCGGTGCCGGCCGCGGGCCGGGTGCAAGGCGCCGGCCTCGGCGCCGCCTCGGCGCGCCGCACGGGCGCGGCGAGCCTCTGAGCGGGAGCCGAAGGTTTGCCGCGGTGGGAGGTGGTAGGGAGGTGGCGGTGGGGGGGCTGATTTTTCTTTGCCGCAGAGGCCGTCCCTAGCTGTGAACAGCAAAACGGGACAGTATCCATCCTTCACGAAGCCCTCCCAACTCCCATATACCTATACTCTAGGCCCGTTTGTGCTCTGCCAAGTGTCATCCATCCTTCTCACTTTTATTAAACGTGCCACCTCCCCCCAGGACGTCAGCTTCAGCTCCCTGTCCTCCTCTTCACCCCCCTCTCCACTCCCTCTCCGTCCCGAGTGGCAAAGACGTAAAATAGCCGCAGGGTCGGAGGCACCACCATGTGGTACCCCTCGACCTGCCCGCCCTCGAGCGGCTCGCAGATGACGCCTCCAAAGCCGTGGCGGCGCAGCAGCGCAACGACGCGGTCGAGGCGGCCGTTGATGTCGTGCACCTCTGCGACGACCTGCCTGATGGCAGCCCAGTGGCGCGCACTAATGCCGCGCAGCACGGCGAGCTCATCGCCCTCGCAGTCCACCTTGAGCAAGTCGACCCTCTCCACGCCGAGCTCCTCGAGCAGACTCGAGAGGGTGACAGCTCGCACCGCTGTCGCCGCCACCGTCGACGTCGCCGCCGCCGCCGCCGCCGTCGCTGCCGCTGCTGCCGCCGAGGGAGCTCCGCGCTTGACCGCCGCGTCCAAGCGAGCGCGCTGTGCGGCCCGCTCCCTCGGGTGGCAGGTCGACTCGGCGGGTGCATCACCAAAACAGTGGAGCTCGTGCTTCCCTGGCCGTTCGCGCAGCAGCGCCGGCACGCAGCGCACGTGGGCAGCGCGGAAGAGGTTCCGCTCGAGGAGTGGGAACGTGTGCGGAGACGGCTCCACCGCGAGAACGCGTGCGCGTGGGTTGATGGAGAGCGCGAGCAACGAGAAGAGGCCCAGATTGGCGCCGGCGTCCACGATGAGTGGCGAGCCGCGCTCGGGCACATGAACTCCGTGCTGGAGATACGACCGGCGAACAAAAATCTCCTCGTACAGGAACTCGGCCTCATCGAGAGTGCCCGGCAAGTACTCAAACGTCAAACCGGAACCGTCCTCGAGAAGCGTTGGCGGCATCAAGCGTCTTCAGGCTGGTTCAGGCCATGTCTTGGCAGGTCCGGTTCGCAGGTCCGGCGCAGGTGATATCTAGCGCCACCCGGCTCTAGCGCCACCGGCTCCAGCGCTCTTTGACTCAAATTTCTTTTGCGAGGACCTCGTACTCGGAACCATCTTCGGAATCGGATGCTGTGAGACCGCAGGCCCTCCGAAAGCACGGCCGCCACCCCGCCCCTTCAGCCCTCTCAATACCCCGCACTGTACATGGCGCTACAACGCGACGAGCGGTTCGCCCAGAGCTGCCGCAGGGCAAGTATTTGCTGCGTCGCGACGAAGCGGTCCCGCTCGGCGCAGTACCCCGCCACTCCACACAACCGGCCGCGGCTCTTACTCTTGTTGGGGGCGTTATGACGCAGCGTCGCCGTTCCCTCCCTCGGGGCCAGCACAGCCCCTCTGCACCCGCCCTCGTGGTGAGAGAGCTGCTGGCGCAGGACAGCCGTCTTTGCACCGGGCGTGCCGCCGCCGCGGCACTGGCGAAAGAAGGAGCCCATGAGCGCGGGGTCCGAAGCGCAGCCGTCCGACGTCCAGGGGTTCACGCAGTTGGCACCGCCGTAGCCCTGGCGCTCGAGCAGGAACCGGTGCACCTAAGAACAGCGGCAACATTGGCCAAGACCCTTTCCTGCAGCAGCTATGGTGCCTAGGCCGGGCTGACTCGTAGGACGCGTCGGGCGTGCTCAGCGGTCAGTACGTACGCCTTCGAGTCGTAAAACTCTCGGCACCAGAGAAGCCGGGCACCGGCACTCAGTAGCCTCAACTCCGAGGAGTGACGCGCCCGCGCCTCCAGCCGCTCTACGGCGAGAGCCGCCACGGCTCACCCGGCGACGCTCCCTCTCTCCGAAGGCGGGCCATGATGAGTGCATCCTCCTCAGAAAGCGGCGCCTCTACCCTCGCCAGCTCAGAAAGCGGCGCCTCTACCCTCGCAAGCTTCTCTCCCAATAGCAGCCTTTGCACGTAACTCAGCTCGCTGCGACACGTCTCAAGCTCGCCAGAAGCGCGCTGAGAAGATGTTGACGTGGCAGGTATATTGAGCACACTGCGGGCCAAGCTCTGCCACTGAAGTAGAAGCCCCAAACAGAGTGCGGCAACCAGAGCCGCCGAGAGTGAGGGGATTATCGCAGGCATGTGTGCGTATCCAGGAGGACGCGCGAACAAGTTTCGGGTGATAAAAGTGTTCTTGCGCGGACTGGCACCACTGGACTATCGGCACACCAAAAATCGGGGAAGGTAAGAGCTACACTGGCTACATACACCGAAAAAAAGCGAAGAGAGGGGTAGGAAGGCGGGAGAAGCCGCGGTAAGCCGTAAAAGCCACCCAGAAAATGCCGCAAAGGTGAAATTCCAAAGAGAAGCGCAAAACTCGTTCCTTTTGGTAAAATAAAAACCAGCCCACTCTTCTCCTTTGCACCTGATGCTACAGAGGGCTGACAGCGCGCTGACATCTCCCCGCGGGAGGGAGCCCATCGCACCACCAGGTGGAAGAGAAGAAGCGCTGATAAAAAACTCGTTCGCACCGACCGCCGCGGAGCGCAGATGAAACGAAAAACTCGCGTCGATGCAGTATCGGCAAGACAAAGGCCAGCCGCGGTCGCCGGCGGTGCGGGGTGGGGATTCGAAGGAGCCGCAGGAGAGCTCGGAACCGTGCACGGAACAAGGCTCGCCACCGAACCCAGGTCGCCGTGCGGCGGCGCCGCCGGGAAGAGCTAAAGCTGGAGAAGCCGCAGCTCGAGTGCTCCAGGGCGGACCACGCCTACTTAGTGCTGATGGCGCGCCGGCGGGCAGGGCTGCAGCAGCAGACAGGGCTACTTGTAAGACCGCCGGGCCGCAAACGTCCGAGCCATCCTGTGGTGCGGCCCTCGCATCGACGACGCTTTCCGACCCATCTTCTCCTGTGGCCCTCGCATCCGCGACAAGGCAAGCTGCGGCAAAACAAGAAGCAGACGAAGCGGCTAGCGAGGTGGCTGCCCAGCGCAAAGCTGAAGAGTCGCTGGCAGCTTGCGACCAGGCAACCTACGAGTCGCTGCTTGGACTTCTCGAGATTGTGCGCAGCCCTGGTTTCTCCGAGCACACTGGTCTGCAGCCGTGGGTGGGGACACCCGAGCCGCAGCTAGGTTGCACCACGGCGGGTCTCCTATTTGACCTGTCGCGTCAGCAGCAGCGGCTTGTGACGCCGTTCGGCGCGCTAACGCTGTCCTACTCGCTCTGCTTCCCGGGCTACCTCGAGCCGTCCGCGCCTCCGCCGGCACAGGACGAGCACTTGACACCGTTGCCAGGTCGCACTCTCGCCGTCCGGCCGGAGCGGACCTCGCTCTTCTTTGCGCTGTGCAGCTCAGGCGCACCGCACCTCCTTGCCCTCTCCAAGCAGCCGGGCCCTCGTTTTGCAGTCGACTCCGTGCTGGGAGCACCTCTGCCAGCTGGCGGGCTGAGAGACGCCCCGGCCTCCGAGCACAAGGCGATGCGAGAACGCTGGTCTGCCGTCACTCGCGCGTCAAGGCCAAACATGGCGGCTCGCTTGACCGCCTCGCTTCAAACGCCGGGCACTCCAATCATCAACGAGCTGACCGGGCGCTGTGACGCGGTGCGCCTCGACCTTCTACCACGCCTCAAGCAGCACCGCGCATTCACTTGCGCGCGTACCAAGCCGAGCGAAGAGGATCTAGTGCGAGCCATGCGTGCCGGAGGCAACGAGGTGGAGAAGGCAGCACGGCACCTGCGCGCGATGCGGCGCGCGGAAGACGGGCTTGTCTCGCAGCGTCGTGGGTACGTGACGCGCGCTCAAGTACGGGAGGTGTTGCAGACGTGCGACTATGATGAGCGGGTCGCGAGGCTGCTGCTCGACTCGCAGCGTCAAGTGTCGAGAGTAGCTGATGACATTCTTGCCCAATCGGGTCTGGAGAGCGGCATAGGCTGGCCTACACGGCCAGACGTCGAGGCCCGGCTCGCAATGGCAGGGAATGACGAGGTGAGCGTGCTGTCGGCGCTGATTCAGGAGAACCGCGCCTCGGTGGAGATGATGGCCGAGATCATCACCTCCGACACCATCGACCGTTTCCTCGCGCCGGAGCGGGCATCCCTTTACGGGCTGTCCTCGCCCCCGACTACAGAGGAGCGGAGGCGCGTCGAAGCACTCTACGACGAGTTCGGGCGCTCCGAGGAAAACCTCCATCATTTTCTCTTTGCCGTGGGCCAGATTGTGTGCAGCCTCGACAACCTCACCACTCCGGCCTGGAGGCCTCTCCGTGAGCTGGATGGCCCGGCGCTGCAGCCCTCGGAGACTAAGCTCCGACCCCGCGCTGCTCTCAGGCCAAGCCGGTGCGAGTTGGAAGGGTACGTGCGCGAGTTCGGCGGCGACCTGGCAAAGGTCTGCCCATCGCCACGTTCCCTAAGCTCTCGCTCTTCACTCTCCGTAATTCAGTATCTATGCCGCAGGCCTTCCTGCGTGCCAACCGGTGCCTGACCGACGCGGCGCGCAAGCTTGGGTCGCCCGATCGAGCGACCATCGCCCGCTACGTGCGCGCTGCCGAGTGCAACGAGCAAGAGGCGCACGCCTTTGCACTGGCGGTATGGAAGCTCGTAAACACGAAGCCGCCAAAGGCGGTCAAGTCAAAAACGCCCGCGCCGCCTGCTCGCGGTCGAAGCAAGGGCGGCAACGAAGCCAAAGCTCCCGTCACTTTGGCGGAGAAGTGTGGTTTCCCCTCGCGCGCCGAGGCCGAGGCGGCATTGCTTGCCGTCAAGGCTGGCAAGGACCGCCTCGCAAGCGCCGTGGCTATGCTCGAGCGCGTGGACGTGCTGCATCGCTTCATCTCGCCGACCTTCCCTGTGCTGCTTCGTGCTGATGCTTTGTGGGCGGCGGCGGAGCCTCGCCAGGCTCGCTACTTGTCTGCAAAGCCCCTCTCTGAGGAGGAGCGCGCATTGGGCGAGGATGGCCCGAGGCAGTTGCTTCGCCGCCTCGGCAAGATGCTCCAGGACCTCGATGAACGGGGCCGCTTGGCACCTGAGCCGAAACCACGCGCTGAGGCTTTGCTCTCGGGAGCCGCTGCCACGGCCCCAGCGTCGGTGTACGCAAGCGCGACCTCCGAGACACGAAACCGCGGGGTGCCTCGGGAGATGGCACGGCAAGCGCTGGACGATCACGATTTCGATGTTGATGCGGCGAACACCGCCAGGTGTGCTGCCATGTAGCGCTAGCCTCTGATTGGCGGCCAACCCCTTAGGCCAAGCGATGGCTCTGCGGCGTGGGAACGGTGCTCGCGCGAAAGGAGCACTTTGGCGTCGATTCAACCGAAGAGGAGAGCACAGCGTGCCAACCCTTCGCCTAAAGCGCGCGGTGAGCCGACGCCTCTCAACAGGTGGAGGCTGTCTTCGAAAAAACTGGAAAGGACGCCGCTGCGGTCGTCAGCCACTTTGAGACCGTCGCAGAGGTCATGGACGAGGTCGGCAGGCTACCCGCAGTCGGCCGATCGGATGTCGTGCTGCTAATGGGCCTGGACGGCGAGGGTTGTAGCAGCGCAGGCTGGCCCCGCTGTCAGCGCAGAATTTTGGCTACCTGGAGTGATACGCTGGAGCCCGATCGCGCCCGCTACTACTTAGGCTTGGTCGCGCGAGTGTGCGCATGCTTGCGCGGCCTGTCGCGCATCTTCATCGACGAGGGGACGCTGCTTTCTATCTGCCGCGCAGCAGCGCCCACAGAGGATGACCGGCAAGGGCTCTTCGGGGGATGATCACCACGACTTGATAGCCCACAATGAGCTGGCCTACTATGACGCCTAGGCGATACATCTGCGAGTGCTTGCATCGCTGCGCCCTCTCTGAGGCGGGACAGCCCGTCTCGCCAGAGCCGTCGGAACTGAGCGAGGATCCGGCCGAGGCGAATGCAGAACGGGTGATGGCTGCGGCGCTGGCTTACATGCGAAAGGTCTCCGAGGTGCAGGTCTATCTCACCACCTTCCCAGAGCTCGACCAGCCGTCGACGCGAGCCGCGGCCGCAGCCCTCGACACGGCCGACTTCGACTCAAAGGCGGCAGGCCGTTTGCTACGTGCGTGAATTGCATGCGTTAGAGCGCTGTCCGCCCCCCAACCCTTAATGAGATTCGCTCTCTGGCAGGCGATGAGCTCCGCAAGAAGCGACAAGAGGCAATGCGGGAGGCGTACAAGCGCAAGTTAGAGGAGTACAAGAATGGCACTCTGAGTGTATCGCGTGTCTCGCATGACACGCTGCCCGGCGTGCCGAAACAGGCCCCGGCTTGAGTCTCGAGTCTTTTAGACACTCAAGACACGGCCCGATTCCATCGTGCTACCTGCTACGTGCACGTCTCGTCGTGAACGTTGGATTGAAACTGTGTGTGGTCTCTGTGTGTGGAGTGTGTTCCTGTCGTGCGTGTAAAGAGAGTCTTACGATTGTTTTGAAAGAGGGTGAGCCTTGAGTCCCTGTACAGCGCGGCGATACAGCGCGCACCCGACATGCAACTCCCGCGCGCACCCCGGCGATCGACGAGTGCGAGTGAGAGTCCCCGTGTGCACAATTAAAGTTCATCTCCACCGGGTGTGCGGGACGGGCCTCCGCGCGAGATTGTCGCAAGGCGCAGCCTGCCCTCAAACTCTCAGTAGTCGTCCTCGTCCTCTAGCTCGGCGGCGCCCTTGGTGCACGCCTGGTCGTTGTACATCTGCGCAATCTGCGTCGCGTTGGTCGCATCCTCGGGGCCCTTGTCGTCGCGCACGCGCAAGAAGCGCGGGAAGCGCAGCGCGATCCCCTTGGCGGCGTCGACGAGGCCGACGGCCGCCTGGTGGACGGGCGAGATGGAGAGGTCCGCGGCGAGCACCTACGAGCTCGCCAGGGAGGCTCCGAGAAGGCTCAGGTAAGGCTCGGCCTCCCGGCGCTGCCAGGGAGGGGGGGGGGGGGGGGCTCGCGCGCGCCTCCCAGACCTGTGCCGGCTCGAACCAGACGTCCGGCATCGAGTTGTCTGCCCAGTCGGGCGTGCGGTAGTACTTGGGCGGCGCGTCGATCATCTTCGGGCGGAGGGCGTCGGTGAGCTCTGCGAGGGCGGCGTCGGAGAAGCCCGTGCCGATCTTGCAGACGGACTGGTACTCCTCCTCCTCCTCGTTGTAGCAGGCGAGCAGGTAGGCGCCGAACACGCCGGTCCGCTTGCCCTTGCCGTGGTACGCGCCGATGGGCACGAGGTCGCACGAGTCGGTCATGCCCTGCAGGTAGTCCTTCTTCACCTGGAGCCGCGGGAGGGGGGTGAGCCGAGCTTCGCCGAGGTGGCACCCGAGACCGGGCCGAGGTGGACCTTGAGCCACGAGAGGGAGCGCTTGGACGGCTCGTACGTGGCGTCACTCTGCAGCGTCTTGACCATCAGCCCCTCGCAGTTGCCCTTGATGGCCTGCTGCAGCCAGTCAGCAATCGCGTCCTCGTCCGTCGGGTCGCTCGCCTTGGCAAAGTCGAACTCGGCAGGCAGCACGCGGAAGGAGGCCTGGAGTGGCCAGCGAGTCAGTGCTTGCGATGGAGTGCCGGCGGTGAGTAGGAGCAGCATAAGGACGCCTTGAGCGCGTCGCGCCGCTCGGCGAGCGGCTTGCGCAGCAGAGGCTCGCCGTTCAGGTAGAGCAGGTCGAAGGCGAAGAGGCAGACTTGCACGGTGATGTTGTCGACGGACGCGTCCTTGCGCTTCCGCGTGGAGAGGACCTGGGAGGGCGAGGCACGGGGCGGTGCGCCTCTTCCTACGCTGGTGTGTGTGTGTGTGTGTGTGTGTGTGTGTGTGTGTGTGTGTGTGTGTGTGTGTGTGTGTGTGTGTGTGTGTGTGTGTGTGTGTGTGTGTGTGTGTGTGTGTGTGTGTGTGTGTGTGTGTGTGTGTGTGTGTGTGTGACGGGGGGGGGGGGGCTGGCGGGACCTGGAAGGGACGGATCTCTCCCGTCTCGCGATCGACGGCCACCGCCTCGGCGTCGATGATGAAGGAGGAGACGCCGTCGGCGGTGGCGCGCGGCACCACGGCGGCCAGGTCGGGGTACCTGTGAGAGGGCTCCGAGAAGGCTTGTGGGAGGCTCGTGGATGGAGCGCGGCCCCGCGGCGGGCAAACGTCGGTGCACTTCGAAGTCATGTCCTCCGAGTTGCGAGAGAAGACCTTGACAGTCCCGTCCGGCAGCATGTGCACCTGCGCGGGTCCGCCAACGCTCGGCCGAGGTTCGCCGCGGTGCGCCGAGGCTCGCCGAGATGAGCGCGGAGCACCTGCGCGCGCTCGCCGTCGTACTTGAACTCGCACGTGAACCCGCCGCTGCCCATCCGGTCGAGGACCTCGGAGATGCCCTTGGTGGGCTTGGCGAGCATCGGCTTGACGGGGATGCCTGTTCCGCAGTGCGCACTCGTCGGCTCGACGAACGGGAGGCTCGTCCCTCGGCTTGAGGGGCGGCGCGCCTGCGGTGAGGTGCGCGTGCTTGTGCAGCTGCGCGAGCCCGTGCGAGAGCAGGACCTCGGAGATCTTTGCGTAGTTTGGGAGCTCGCAGTACACTTGCTTGACAGTGGAGACCGCGTCGTCCAGCAGCCGCACCAGCGCCTCCCCCTTGGGCAACACGCCCCCCGGCCCTCCCGGCTGCCCTGGCCAGAAGGGCGCGTCCTCCTCGCCCGCCGCGGCGGCGGCAGCAGTGGCGGCGGCGGTGGCGTCTGCACTCAGCGGCGGCGGCGACAGTACCACGGCGTGCGCGAGGGCGGTCAGCACGGTCGCCTAAGGAGGAGCGCCTTCAGCCTCATTCTCTCAGCTATTTCTCTCAGCCTCGGTCTGGTGAGCCCGTTGGGCCCAGCACGCCTCCGCGAGGCCGAGGCGCATCTTGCCTACTCGTGGTTGGGCCGTGGCTCATGCGTGGCTCCTTCGTGGCTCGTTAGGCCGAGGCGCATCTCGCCCTGGCAAGCGCGCACGATGTACTGCGCCTCAGCGCCCTGCGCGGCGACCAGCATCGACTTGATCTTCTCCTTCTTGCGCGTCATCACGTCCTGCGACGGGCAGGAGCCGGAGGTGTCCCCCCGGGCCCTCGGGGGGAAGCGCGACGTCTCTCGGGAGTGTCTCGGAAGTGCCCTTGCCTTGCCCGACGAGCGCGCAAGCTCGACGAAAGCGGCGAGGACGCCTAGTCACACCCGCAGTCGTCGCGGCATGCCCCCCCCAGCCCTCTGGCAGCCCGAGGAACGCGGAAACGACGCCCCGGACGGTGAGCGGTTTCGGCTTGGAGAAGGTGATCTGCTTGCGCCGCGCCGCCATCGCCACGGCTCCTAGTCGGGCATACCCAGGCGCCGTCAGCGGAGCGAGGCTCGAACCCGCCGGACGAATGTTCGCCCTCGCGACGGCGCCTAGGTCGCCCTCCTCCTCGAGCTGCGCCTGCGGGGCTCGCCAAGGACGTGTCCCGGACGCGTCCCTGGGCGTGTCCCAGCTCCCTCCTCACGGGGGGCGGGAGCGCCTTGACCGACTCGACGCTTTTGCCGCAGGTCTCCGCCACCGCCTAGGGGGGGGGGGGGGAGGAGAGAGGACACCGTCTAAGGTCACCGTCCGAGACGCGACTCTGCAGCCGATGGAGCAGGCGAGCCGCCTTGATCATGATCGAGTCGCCCACGCCAAGCTCGAGACCCTCGTAGGACGCGGCGATCTTGAGGGGGGACGTGGGGGGTAGGGGGGGGGGCGAGTGAGGGGGTGAGCGCGTGAGCGGCGCGAGGTGGAGGAACGCCCTCGCAGGGGACAGCACTGGCCGCTCTGTGTCACTCGCTGCGTGTGCAGAAGGTCGGGGGAGCAGGTGCGTGTGCAGAAGGTCGGGGGAGCAGGTGCGTGTGCAGAAGGTCGGGGGAGCAGGTGCGTGTGCAGAAGGTCGGGGGAGCAGGTGCGTGTGCGCGTGCGTGTGCGCGTGCGTGTGCTGTGTCCTCTCTGCGACCGCCTTGTTCGTCGCGACGCAGATGGTCGCGTGCAGCTGCTCGGGCGAGGTTGCGATGACGGTGCGGAACGCGTTGCACATGAGCTGCGTGATGAGGAGCCGCTTGCTCTCCGCCTCGATCGCCACGAAGGCCTGGAGCGGGCCGCACGCCGGAGGCCGGCCGTGAGCACATCACTCTTGCGCCTCTCGCCGGTGCAGCGGCCACGAGTACACACGAGCACACGGGGCAAACCAGCGCAGGGCCCACGGCGGCGCAGGACAGTGGGAGGAGTGGGAGAGGAGTGGGGGTGCAGCCGAATGCATGTCTGCTCGAGTGCTGGTCGGAGGGCAGCGGCCCCGCATCTACAGACGGAGGGCATTGGCCAGGAAGGCGAAAGGAATGTCCTCGCCCGCGCCCCACGTCGCCGCCGCCGCGGGGTCGTACGAGAGGTACGCCTACAGGGAGGGTCCGGGGAGGGTCGGAGAAGGGTCCGAGAAGGGCCCGAGAAGGGTCCTCGCAGGGTCATACGCAGGGCGGTACGCCTGGAGGTTGAGCGGGCTCGTCTCTGATCTGATGGGGTGGTCTCGCATTCCTCTCTCTCTCCTCTCTCTCCGCGCGCCTCTCCTGTCTCTTCTCTCTTCTCGCATCTCTCTCCCTACGAGAACGTGGCCAAATGTTGCCTTGAGGTCGAGCAAGCTCGTCCCCACCCGCTTGGCGCCCGACGAGGAGGGCTTCCCGCCCGCCGAGCCGCCGTCGAGCGTCTTCTGCTCCGCCTTCTTCTTCGGGGCAGCGGCCGGAGCGGCGGCCGGAGGAGCGGTCGTCTCGTTCACCGGCGCGTCGCCGCCCGCGCTGGCCGAGGGCTTTGCCGCGCCTGGCGGGCTCGCGCCCGTCGGCCGCCCCTTGAAGTAGGCCTGGAGCGATGACGAAGCGGCCGCGGGTTCCGCCGTCTCGTCGCCCGTGGGGCGGCCGTCGCCATCCGCAGCGTCCATGTCCTCAGCCGGCGCAGCATCCGCCGCATCCTCCTCCTCATCTTCATCATCGTCGCGAATCACCGCCGCTTTGCGGAGGCGCTTGCGGCCTATGCGATGCGACATGGCGCTGGTGCGGGCAGGGCGGCCGCACGCGGCGCGCGCACGCGGGCTGACGCACCCGGTGCTTGCACCTCTGTCTCGGTCATCGCCGCCGCCGCAGCGTCCTTCGGCGCGCCGTCCGGAGTCGAGCTGCCAGCCGGGGGCTCCACCGGAGAGACGTCGTCGCGCGCGGCGGATTTATCCGCCGCGTCCGTCTTGGGCTTGAAGAAGGAGGTGATCATCGGCGAGTTCTCCCGCGAATGTCGTTGTCCCACTCGCGCCTTGGCGATATAATAAAAAATGTATTATCCTAACGGTGTGGGGGCGCGGAGGGCTTGTTGGCGAGCCAAAATGGTGTTTTCCGAGGCGCTGCGCTAGGCTCAGAGCGAGTTCGCGCTGCGCTAGGCTCAGACGGCGAGTTCGCGCTGCGCTAGGCTCACAGATGCGAGTGCGCTGCGATAGAAGAAAAAACAGGGTCGAAACGACAACCGAAGGGAGGACTGTGTAGTGTAATCATGTGTCAAGAATCACGTGCTGCTGCTGCTGCTGCTACTGCTGCTGGCCTGCTGCTGCGCGGCGAGCGCCGTCGCCGAGGCGGGCCTCGGCGGAGAGCGCGATTATGCGGCCTTTTCCGCGACCCGCACAAAGAAGAGGCGCCCTCCGTCAGCCTCGACCTGCCACCGGCTCGCGTCGACCGACCCGGCCGCGTGCCACACCTCCACAGCCCAGTGCGCCAGCCCGCAGAAGTTGCCCTCCTCGATGCCCCATCCCGTGGGCCACGCGGCCAAAGCGGTGCCGAGAGGCGGCGGCGGCGCCGCGGTCGCCTCGAGACGCGCCGCGACGGCGTCAAAGGCGATCCGCCTCGCGCCCGTCGCGGCCGCCTCGGCCAGCAGCGCCTCCCCGGCCAGCCGCGGGAGGTCGCCCTCCGTCTCGAACCAGCACGACGAGCGGCCGTCGGCGCACGCCTCGTCCCACGCCTTGAGCTGGCGGACAAAGGCCGCCAAGCTCTTGAGGCCGGGCGAGGGCGCGGCGGGCGACGGGGCAAGGGAGCAGCCGGGCGAGGAGAGGTAGGAGGTGCTCGCCGGCGAGCGCTCCCGCGCCTGCGAAGGGGCAAGGCCTGAGGGCGGGCGGGCGGTCGGGCGGGCGGGCGCGGGTGGGGGGGATAAACGCTGCGCCGCCAAAGGAACCAGCGACACTGGCCGCGGCTCGTCGCCACGCGCCGGCTCGGAAGAGGGGCTGTCGGCGGCGAAGCAGAGTGGCACGCCTCGCCGCTCGAGCCGCCGACAGCCCCCCTCCTCGACGTGACGGCCGCTCCCGGAGCCGGCCGGTGCGCGCCTGACCCACGCCCCCTCTCGCACCCCTCCGACCCCCCCTGCGCGGCGCACCCGTCCGCTGTGCGCCGGCTCGAGCGCCTATTGCCAAATCGCGACGTTTGAGCGCAGCGCACGCATCCTCTGGGCGCCTGAGCGCGGCGGAATCTTGCCAGAATGTGGCCGCAGGAAGAGCCTCCGGCGGGCCTCCGGCGGACGCCTGGCGGCGTGGCGCTGCGCGCCGGCCTGCGGCCCAAAGCCCGAACGAGCGGTCAAGTTAACTTGACGCGCCGAATCCCTTGGTTGGCCCTCGCAGCTGTGATACAAAAGTGGGGACGCGCCTGGCGGCGCGCCCCCAAAAAACAAATTTCGGGATGAACACCGAAAAGGGGGCTAGACGCGTCCCCCATGACAAGCGATCCCACATGACAAGCGATCCCACCACAGCGTCTGTGGGGAAGACTACAACAACGAAGCTTGAAGGCTGGACGAGGGGGCGGTCCGCGGAACTAAGGAAAGCTCGGAGCGCCACGCAAAAATTAAGGCGTTTTCGCGGGCAAAGGGCACACGTCCCCTGTGACGTAAGAGAGGACCGTCCTCCCCCCTCACAGACCGCATGTCTGGCCAGCGCAGTCCGCCAGCCGTTTCGCTATGGGCACGGCCAGCAGCATGAATGCGACCTTGTCCAGGTTCTGCCGCAGCGCCGGCGGCAGCCGGCCAAGCACTCCGCGCTCGAAGAAGTCGACCTGCTCGGCGGCGGCGACGATCGACGAAGGCTCCTCCAGCGCGAGCGTCCTCGGGTTGCACTGCAAAATACCCGGGTTCTTGCTACAGACGTCGCGCGCACCCTCTGTGCCGAGCATGCCGACGAGCACGTCGTAGCAGCCGTAGATGTTGGATGGCGAATTGAGGTAGGGGAGAATCGTACCCGTGTTCCGCATTGCGGCGGCGACCGCCGATGCCTCATTCGCATAGCACGCCCGAAGCGCAGCCCAGAGCGCCTCGGTGCTCTCGCGCGGCGTGTCCGCGGAGAGCAGACCGTCCACCTCTGGCGGGAGGCGCGCGCGCTTGGCCCGCATGTCTTGCGTTGTCCAGCGGGCCATGCAAGACGGCGGTGATAGGCGAGCCGCAGGGAGAGGAGAGGTGGGACGAAGCAGCGGCTGGAAGCTTTGTGCGGAGACGAAAACGAGGAGCAGCATCGTGAGTCGGGTTGTGCCTTTGTGCGAGTCCGACCGAGCTACGCCGAGCAGAGGGCCCTCTGCGGCGCCAATATGCAAAAAAGAATTTTATAACAAAACTCCCTCGCACAACACTGGGCACGGGACTTGTGCAAAAAAGAAAATAATGGCGCAATCCTACGCGCACCTCGCGTGAACCACTCTGTACGGCTCCGCGCCGTCCATCGCCTTTGCGGTCGCGTTCTGAGCCCGAGCGACGAGCTGCCGTGCCGCCACGTGCACAGTGCTGCATCCGGCCGCGTCCCTCGCGTGGAGCAGCCACGCCCGCCTCGTGTCCCCCTTCGGCTGATGGCCGGGAGAGAAGCTCCACGCCGGCAGCTGCCGCCCTCGCCTCAGCTGAAACCTCGCCGGCCGCTGCCCGGTCCCGCCGCACCGGACGCCATTGTCGCGCATCACGCCGCCGCAGGCCGGGTCGGACACGCAGGCGGCCTTCGCCTCGTCGAGGCCGCGGTACCGCTGGTCGCACGGCTGCTGCCTCGGCGGGTTCGGCAGGTTGACACGCGCGAGAGTGAGCCAGCACGCTCCGCCGTCGTCCGCCTCGACTTGAGGGGCGGCTGGCTCGCCCGGGAAGGACGGCTGCGGCGCCTCGGAGAGAGAGCAGCGGGCCCTCTGGGCCTGGTGCCCGCCGCCGCCACGCTGGGCAAAATACTTGAGGTCGATCCGGTGCGCGCACAGCGCGCCTACCCCGCGAGCGGCGCTCAGCCGCACGTTGCTGCCTCCGAGGCAGGAGACGCGCCCGAAGCGAGCGACGCCGCGGCGCGCGATCCAGTTGAGAAGGGTGGGGATGGCGACCTCGCACTGCACCGAAGCAAAGGCGGCCGCTCCCTCGCGGAAGGCGGCGTGCGCGGCAACCGGGAGGAAGGCGACGTCCGCCCACCCGAAGCAGCAGGCGGCGACGCCGAGCCCGGGCGACGCCGCCTCGCAGAGGGACGCCGACTCGTTGTGCCAGAACCAGTCGGGCTCATCGTGCAGCAGCTCCTACTCCCTCACCACTCCTCCTTCGGTACCCCGGTGCAGTAGCAGTGGGCAAGGCTCTCCACGTGAGGAGCTCTCCGGGCGCAGGCAGAGCGAGCGGGCGCTGCTCTTGGAGTCCTTGGCGAGCAAGCCGCCCGCCGGCGCGAACGACGACTGCTCCTGCGAGTCGGCGATCACGCCCGCCCAGCCTCGCAGATTGAGAAACATGTCGGCGTGAGCAAAGAGCAGATGCGCCCGCCCGTTGGCGGCGTCGGCGATGTTGCGGTGCGCGTACATCCGGTGCTCGGCCGGCACGCACTCCACAGCCGGCAGCCGTCCTTCTCGGGCGCTCACGAGCCTCTCGCACAGCGCCACCTCGGACGGCTTGACGGCAGCGCGCACGCTCCAGCCCAGCCTTCGCAGTGCGGGCGCGTAGTGCAGCCCGTCGAGCAGTGTCGGCAGCCGCTCGACCGAGCGAAAGTCGTCGAGCCAAGGGAACTGGAGGAGCAGCAGCACCGGGACTGTCGAAGTGGAGGTCATCGCCGGAAAGAAGCTCCGGCAGACAGCACGCGAGAGCGCGACAGGTTCCGCTCGATTTTTTGGATTAGGGCTTCTCGGCGGATTGCACTTACGCGACAGCGGCGTTTGTCACTGTGCGATTTCGGGGTTGTGTTTCTGTGAACAGCGTCATGCTGCTGCTGCCGCTGCTTCTGCCGCTGTTGCTGCCTCTGTTGCGGTTGCTGCCATAGCTGCTGCGGCCGCACCACCCGGCGAGGCCATCCTCGCGCGCACGGACGCTACAGGCGCGGGCGCGGGGGTGGAGGGTGCGTATGAGGCGGAGATGATGGAGGCGCTCGCCGCGTGCGGCGACTGAGCGCCTCCCTCTCTCTCCGGCTGCGCGCCTGACCGGTGCGGCCTCCGAGTCGGCGTCTAGCGCGCGCGATAAGGTTTTTGCTCGCCTTCCCTGGGACCCCGTGTTGCGTGACTCTGTGCGATTTCGGGTCCGGGGTTGTGCGTTTACGTGAACAGCGTCATGGCGGGGGACACAGGGGAGCAGCATCGGAGGAGTCGAGTGCCTCTCAGCAGCACACACATGGCGTTCCTGTTCGCGGAAGCAAAGGAGGACGCGCCCGAGGGCGGCGACATGTTCGCAAACCCTCGCATGGCTAGAATGATGAGGCCCGCTATGCGCATCATGATGAACGGGCTTATGAAGGTAAGCGCGCTCCTGGCCGTCGTCGCAGTACACCTCCGCACCTCGCACACTCGATCGCACACGCCGCAATACACCTCCACACGCCTCGCACACCGCAGTACATCTCCACACGCACCTCGCACACCGCAGTCATCTCCACACATCTCGCACACCGCAGACATCTCCACACACCTCGCACACGCGGCGGCCCACACCCCGCCCAGGTGACGACGCACGACAACGACTGCACTCAGAAGGAGGTGGCCTCCTTCATGGTGCCGTCGTCGGTGGGGAAGCCGTTTAAGGACGCGCCAGGGACCTTCGACCCGAGCATGCCTGGCCGCATAAAGGACGTCATGATGGGCGGCATGATGGTAATGCACCGCAAGGTGATGGAGGCGGGGCCCGAGCCACACAACAAGGTGAGCCCCCCCACCAGCACCGCCGCCCTCCTCGCCACCGTCGTCGACCCCGCTCCTGCCAAAGCTGCAGCCCATACCACCGCGCCGTCCACACGCCACTCCTACTTCACCGCCGCCGCCGCAGGGCATCACTTGGGAGAAGTATAACGAGCACCGCGGCTACACCACGCCGGGCCACGTCGAGACGTCGCCCGCGATCGGCGACATTGCCCCCGACGGCCCGATCTTCTCGATCGAGGCGGCGGGCCGAACTTCGTCCACGCTTCTCACCGAGGCCTCGAAGCTGGCCGCGGAGTATGGCTCCGACAAGGTCGTGCTCTCCTTCGTCGGCATCACGTGCCCCTTCGCGCGCGCGTACTGCTTCCAGGACCTGTACCTCGCCAAGAACAAGGCAGTGCCGACACTCAACGTCTACATCCGCGAGGCGGAGCCCTGCGACGTCTTTGACGCGGGAGGGATGCACTGCACCTCGCCGGTCGCATGCCGCCGCCGCGTCTACTGGCACAAGAGCGCCGACGAGCGCGCCCTCGTCGCGCGCGAGACCAAAAAGTACTTTGAGGAGTGGGAGGGCGAGGGCCGGTGTGCCATGTGGATGGACTCGATGGACGACGCGCTCGAGGCGGCGTACGAGGCCCGCCCGTGGCGCCAGTATGTGATCGAGGCCTCGACCGGCAAGATCACCGGCAAGCTCGGCCTCGCCCCCTTCAACATGGTTGGCAAGTGCGCAAGCATCAAGGCCGCCACCCACTAGCCCGCCGAGTTTATGCGTCGCTCCGCCGACCTATGCGCCGCTCCGCCGCCCTCTGCTCGCCGCCGATCGATGCGGTCGCTCGCCTCAAACTCCCTCGCGCGGCCTCGGCCTGCGGGAGCGGAGCACGGGCGTACAGTATTGCTAGGAACCGCCACTATCATTGAGCAGCAGCAAAGGGGGGGTGCAGGCGGCGCCGTCTTTCGCTGAGAATCCTATTGAGTGAGAGTGGCTCTCTCTCTCTCTCTCTACGCTCTCTCTCTCGCTATCGCGCTGCTCCCCGTCCCAGCCGCGGGTGCTGTGTACGGGCCGCGGGGACTCCCTCTAACTTCGCCGTCTATAGCCTATAGGTACTCCACGGTAGTCCCAACCTCTCTCCACACACAAGTTTTGCCACTTTGTAGGGAGAGATTTTAGAAAACTAATCTCTTCTCTCAAGTTTTGCGACGCTCTCGAAGAGCTGAGGAAGTGGCTTGCACGCGTCTCGTGTCTCGAGCGTCACCTACTAGCTAGAGTACTATTTTCACGCACGTCCTAGGACTCTGATCCTGTTCGCGTCTTTGATACAGTTTTCGGTGAGACCGGAAGCAGATTCTGAAAGAACTCGGCATTCAGAATCTCGGGATTCAGTGACGCGACAGCGGCGCCGAGTCCCGAGACGGATACTACGCGACAGCGGCGCCGAGACGGATATCAATGCGAGAGGAGGAGACACGTGCCCGTCGAGCCTACCGGCCGCCCGTGTAGGCACACGTCGGCGAAGTAGCGTAAGATGACAGGCCATCCCACCCAGGTCACACACAGAGTTGCAGACCTCAGCGAGCATGACGAGCCTCTCTCTCGCCGGCGGCGGTGGGGTTCATGGCCTGGACAGCGTGATCGGGGACAGACATGGGGTTGCGAGTTCCATCCTCGAACGCATTCAGCCAGACAGAGGACGTGGGCTGCGCTTATCTTGGGTGTGACGCTGACGTTGGCGTGCGGGAAGACCATATCTTTGCACCTCCGTCGCTGAGGTAGAGGACAAGGGAGAGACGTCGAACGGCCACATCGACCCGAACAGAGAGAGAGAGAGAGAGAGAGAGAGAGAGAGAGAGAGAGAGAGAGAAACAAAGAAAAGAGAAAAAACGAGGGATTCGAGGAGGAAGGGTTCTTTCGGCTGAGCCGGTGCGGAAAGAAATACTGGAGAACTCGACTGCTCGCTACAGGAGATGCGCGCTGAGTTTGCCAACGAGCGAGGTGCGGAGCAGCTGGTGCGCGCGGTGCTTGCCGACGGCCAGCCGGCTGCAGCGCATCAGCGGCCGCCTGTTCTGTCGCCGCCACCGCCGCGAGCGCGCATCTTTGCCCACAAGGTGTCGCGCGATGATATGTGTGATATGCAACATCAAAGAGATATATTTGCCACTTTCCGCACAAACATGGCACCCGACCAGCTGAAGCTCTAGACTCGTCGACCGAGCTCTGGACGATGCCGACCTCAAACCACCAGCGCCAGCAACGACGTGCCGCGGCTCGCCGCGCCGCTGTTGCGACCGACGACGTGCCCGACGCCGTCCCGCGGCCGAAAGGAAGAGGCCCGCGCAACCACTTCTGGGACCCGCGGCCGCCGGGCGTGCGGCGGCACAACGAGTCGAACGAACCGAACCAGCGCAGAGCGGCGCGTCTCGCGAGCGCCCGCGGCCGCCACGCCGACGCCGTCCGCGGCCGGCGGTGGTCGCGAATCAACGCGGCGCGGTGCAACGAGGCCAAGTCCTTCCAGGCTCCCGCCAGCAGCGCCTCGTGGCGTGGGCTGCACGGCCCTTCGAGACGGCCCGGGGGGCGGTGAGAGACCTCTCCCGCCGGCATGGCGCACTATATCACCCGTAGAGGCCTCTCTATAGTCGCCTTTTGGCACCTCCTCTATCCACGCCGCCGATTAGACCTCGCCGCATCGCATCGCCCCCTTCCCTGCCCCGTCGCCCTCCTGAGCTCTCCCTCCTTCGCTCCAGCCATGCACAGGACGGCTGGGCCATTGGCCCGCGTGCCAGGCGTCCGGGACGGCCGGGTATCGGCTCCGTACTTTGAGCCCTCTTGGGCCACCCTCGCGTCCACCGGCCGGCAGAGCACCGCTTGGGCGACTCAGACGGCCCGCCCGACCAGCGCGTTCGATCGTGCCGCCCCCACAGCGTCAGTGGCGTGCGTGGGGTGGCAGGCGGCGTCAGCGCAGCCCCTCGTGGGGGTGCCCACCGCTCTCCTCTCACCGCTCCCCCCCGCCCGTGGCACCCCACACACTCGTCCCTCCTCAGGGGCGCAAGGCGGCACGGCACGTTCAGCGCTTGCCTCGGCCCACCTCGCCTTCACGCCCGCCACCGCGACCAAGGAGGTGGCCTCGGCGGCCCAGATGAAGCCCGTGCGGCTCGTTTGGGAGCCGCATGCCGTCCCTCTCTCGCCGGCGCTGCTCACCACGCCAAAGCCTACGCCGAGGAACCCGTCGCGCCCGTCGCTCACGAGCTGGTGGCTCGCATCGACCGAGCCGTCCAGCTTTCTCACGCCCTGCCCACGATCAAATTCGAGACGACCAACATCCGACCACAAAAAGGCCCGCGCGTGCTGCGCGGGCCGGCGAGCGACTAGCGAGCCAACCTGCTAGTTATGCAAAAATGCAAAAAATGTGCATGGGCAAAAACCACACGCATTTTTGGGCGCAAGAACCACAAGACACCCGTTCCCCTCCAGCCCTCCAACCCTCCGAGCCCTCCGAGCCCTCCGAGCCCTCCGAGCCCTCTTGGGGGGCAGTCACATAAGCCGCGACTTCGTTTTCTTTATCTTTTTGCGACCCCTCCCGGAGGGCCCTTCCGACCCCTCTCGAGCCCCCCCGCCACGAAGATCCTCCCCTGTCCGACCGTCCCTCCGAGCCCACCCGGCGTCTGGGGAGGGGGTTAGCCCTGTGGAGCCCTCCCGACGCCAATCCGACGGGGACCCCTCCAGCCCTGAGCTGTGGGCTGGCGAGCCACGGTCCGGTCGGAGGGGTGGAAGTGGGAGGGCTCGAAGACGGACCTCTCTCGCTCCGGGAGGGTGGAGGGGTGGAGGGTGGAGGGGTGGAGGGGTGGTTGAGCCCTCTAGCTCTAGGGCTATACCCACCCGGAACAGTTTGCCGGCGACGGCCGCGCGCGGTTGGCATTGTGACGATGGGTGCGCGCGGCCGCGTCGCGCCCGCCATGGTTCGGCGCGGCGCGCCTACCAGCGGCAATTGTCGAGGCACGGGAACGCTTACCCGGGGTCATCCTCTGAGCCTGGTCGTCGGCGCCGCGATGCCACGGCGGCGCATTCGACGTCGTCGGCGCGCTGTGCCCCGCGTTGAGCCCCGCCGCTCGTAGCGACGGCAGCAGGTCGGCCCGGTGCAGCGCGCCCTGGCCGCAGACTGAAGAACGGCCACGAGGGGTGTGTGATGTGCGGTGCGGGGTTGTGAGGGGGCAGCGTCTTTGTGTGTGCGCGCGCGCGCCGCTGCCGCTCGTGGTTTGAACTGCCCGCTGTCCCTCGCTGTCTCCCTGCCCTGTGCGAGCGGAGAGGAAGATGGGAGGTCGGCCTTGAGAGCTTTTACGGGGGGTTCTCCCCGCGCCAGAGGCTCTCTGCCTCTCTATACATATTATAGCCCCTTTTACGGCGCGGAGACACACTGGCATGTTGTTGATGAATGATGAGAGGCGGCGGTACGATATTCTGTTATACTACCCGAAAATACCAACAGCCAACACACAAAAGATGAGAAATAGACCCCCCTCCCCCGGGGCTCGCCCGCCTCCCTGGCGACCGTCTCCTAGACCGCCGTACAATCATGCAGTGTAGATCGCAGCAGTAGAGCGCGTACCAAAGTAGCTTCAGGCGGCGTCGACGCGCACCACCCGCTCCGCATCTTGCTCGCCCTCGTAGTGCCCAACGGCGCCATCGGCAAGCACCACGCGCACCACCCGCTCCGCACCTTGCTCGCCCTCGTAGTGCCCAACGGCGCCATCGGCAAGCACCACGCGCACCATCCGCTCCGCACCTGGCTCGCCCTCGTAGTACTGCACAATGCCGTTGGCAGCCTCCATGCGCACCCTCCGCTCCGCTCCTCGCTCGCCCTCGTAGTACGCCACGCTGCCGTCGGGCATCTCCGTCCGCACCATCCGCTCCGCACCTTGCTCGCCCTCGCAGTACACCTCACTTCCATCGGCATGCACCGTCCGCACCATCCGCTCCGCACCTTTCTCGCCCTCGTAGTACGCCTCACTTCCATCGGCACGCACCGTCCGCACCTTCCGCTCCGCACCTTGCTCGCCCTCGTAGTAGTGCACCATGCCGTCGGCCAACTCCATGCGCACTACCCGCTCCGCACCTTTGTCTCCCTCGTAGTGCTGCACCACGCCGTCGGCTAACTCCATGCGCACCATCCGCTCCGCACCTTGCTCGCCCTCGTAGTGCTGCACCTGGCCGCTCCGCAAGGAACGCAACCGCAGCTTCGCGCCACTCTCTTCGCCGCGCTTCAGTCTCCAGATATCGATGCGATTGTCTCCGGGGCCGTCCAGCTCCGTCGAGAGGCAGAGCGCCGGGCTCACCCTCGCAAGCCACGGGAAGTGGTCGGCGCTGGCGCGGCGGTCGGCGGCGTATTTGCGCAGGATGGACTCGGTCAGAGGCGAGGGTGGGATGGCAGCGGGTGCGGATGCGGCGAGGCGAGGCGAGCGGCGCGGCGCGGCTACCCGCTGGGCGAGCTGCAGCCGCATCACCACGGGGAAGAGAGGGTCCTTGAAGCGCGGCAGGCCGCTGCGCAGGGCGAGGAGGCCGAGGCGCGGCGACGCGAGGCTGAAGGCGGCGCAGTCGGAGAAGTCGTCGACGCCCTCGAGGATGCGGAGGTGCAGCTCCGGCGGCAGCTCGGCCAGCCAGTCCGTGGGCGGGGCGTCCTCCTCGGTGTGTGTGGCGCGAGGCGAGCGCGGCATGGGAGGGGTGCTGGTCACAAGCGGCGGGAGCGGCGTTTTCTGAACGAGCGGCGTGAGAAGAAGAAATACGCCGCGCGTGCAACACATGCGTGCCTCGGAGAAAGACTGCGAGTTGCGGAAGCGATTGCTCGGCAAGGAAGGTGTTGTCGCTTTGCGGGGTTTCTTTTCTTCATTTCCAAAGGCAGCGCATCCAGGCGCCTAGGGATCGGCCTTGCACTCTCTACTGTTGCTCTGGGAAAGCTTGCGCGCCAGCGCGCCACACCCTCTGCCACCATTACCATGATCGCCTCGCCCTCGACGCCTTCTGGCCGCCTTCGAAGCGCGGCATCCAGCGCGATCCTCGTCGTCGCCGGCTTCGCGCTCGGCCTGCTGGGAGCGGCGACGTCGCCCACGTTGGAGCGCTTCCGCTCAGACTCGTCATCGGCGGGGCGGACGCAGGTCACCAGCGTGGACCAGGCGTTTGGCGCAGTGCCGGACGCATTTGGGCAGCAGGCCTTTCTCGCCCATGTGATGGTGCAGTCCACCTTGTGGAGAGCTAGCTAACATGTACCTCCCTTTCCATTCCCTCAGGCTACCCAGAACTTCAACTCGATAAACCCCTTCTACGTCGACCCGTGGGCCCGTGACCACGTCAAGCTCTCAGTGACGCCGTCCTCGGTCGGATGCGGCAACGATGGCAAGGAGTTCGTGCGGCCCTTCTACGTCAATGTCCGAACCACCACCACAGCATAATGCCCGTGTCCACAGCCGCACCGCACGCTTTGCAGCGCACACCCCACCCCACCCCCCCCCCAGTCGGCTGGCTCGGCGGCCACTTTCAACTGGTGCGAGGGCAAGACCTGCTACCTCACTCTCGAGATCGGAGGCGACGCTCTGCACCACGACATCGGGATGGTGCGGATGCGAGGCTGCCCGGTGAGCACTGCAGACCCGCCACAGACGCCTGCACGGCTGCACAGAGCACTGCTGACCCGCCATAGACGCCTGCGCGGCTGCACAGAGCACTGCAGACCCGCCACAGACGCCTGCACAGGGCACTGCAGATGCGGCGCAGATGCGACCAGAGAGGCTCCCGCGCGCGGCTCTGCCTCCCGCAGGTCTCCGAAGGCTACACGATCCCCTACCTCCGCGTGATGAAGGTTCTGATCGGCTCGTACTCGTCGCTGTACCTCGGCTGGGGCGCGTGCGACCAGGCGTCTCGCACTAGATGCCGCGGGGCTAGGGCGCAATGACGCGCGAGGGCCGCCAGTAGCCGCCAACGCTTCTCACCACGAGCGTGCGAACGAGTCGACCTCGCCTCACTGCCGTGTAAGGCGGAGACCAGCTGCGCGCTCGGCGCCGACACGACTCTCCAGCCGGGCGACTGCAAGACGCTAGCGCACCCAACCGTCCCAAGTGAGCGGTACGACGTCTGCTATGACGGCGCGCCGTCTCGCCAGTGTCATCGGCGCGCAGCCGAGAAGAAGAATCTCACGCGTTGCTCTCGCGCTGCGGACCGTAGGCCAGGGCAAGTACTGATATTGCTCTTCCTCTCCGGGGTCGCGTCACCTACAGCTACTCGAAAAAAAGTTGAGCCGCACCCGACGCGGGGAACGAGAGACCTCTTGTCACATCGGTAATGAGAGAAATCGAAAAAGAACGAGCTGGTAATGTGTGCGCCGCGAAAGTCGCGGACCTGCCGCCGCAAGAATTGTGGATCTTATCGGGAGACTAACATACTCTATGTAGAGGAGCCAGAGTTGTATGTCCTTTAAACGGGGGGGGTGCACCGCTGCGGCGAGGCTGTGAGTTGCACAGGGGTTGTGCGCCGCGGCCGGGCCGCCTCACCTGCTCGGCTCTCCAGCCGGTAGACAAGTCTCGCTTGTCATCAACAGAAGTAGAAGGGATCTGACCTCGGGCCGCCTCGGACTGCGCAGTCTTAGCCTTGCGATGCTAAGCGACTCTTGTGACCTCTATGCTCTAACCCTACGGCTTTGCCAAATGCCGGCGGAGAAAGGCCGAGATTTTTCATCAAAGAGCTATCTCGTATGGAGCAGTCTTCTTCAACGACGCTGGCCCCACCACCTGCATGGGGGACGAGAATTCCTATGGCGCCGGGGGGCACCTCAAGAGAGCATCCAGGTCTTCAATAGGGTTGCCTAACGTTAAGAGCTGAACAGTGTTTTGCTAGTGTTAACAGTAACAACAGAACAACAGTGGGGGCCCCCAACAACAGTAGCTAACGTTAGGCCGACTGAACAACAGTAAGGAAGGCCTGGCAGTGACCCACGACGATCTCTAGTGTCCAGTGCGGGTAATACCCGAAAATACCCGGAAAATCCCAGGTATTTTCGGATTTTACCCGGGTTTTTTGCCATTTTCTGCTTGCTGGCCGCTGAACAACAGTAACAACACAACAGTAACAAACAGTAACAGCATGGGCTGGGGTGAACACTTGAACAACGTTGAGGATTTCAGCCAACAATAGCGCAACTGTTAGGCCCCAAATTAACGTTAGGCAACCCTAGTCTTCAACACGGGTACTCTCCGACGCCGAGGTTGCTGCGCCCGAGGGTGCGCCTCTCGTGGCAGGCTGAAGTTGGTCTGCTATACCACCAGGCCACACGCCATTAGTAGTAGCCACAGGTAGCTTCCTCCTGGGACGACCATTGTTGTGTATGTGTGTTTAGAAAGTCAGGTTGATAACAGTTTGCTTAAAAACAAGAGCAGCCCACGACTCATACGAGGTGAGCTGCATGAAAGAACCCCCTAAAAGCGTTTCCCCGTACTCTCAATCAGCTTCTTCCAGATCTCTCTCAACTCCTTCTCATACCGGAGCGTCCACTCTCTCTCCGTCCACTGGTAGCCCGGATTGCACTCTGGCGCGCGGCGGCGGCGTGTCGGAGGACTGCTCAGAGTCGCTGCAGTAGTCGTGCCACTGCCACGGTCATAGTCCGGGTACATCTCAGATCGGCACGACGTGGTCTGAGAGTTGGTTAGAAAACGTGTCCAGGTAGCACCTAATGTGGCGCCCACAGACGCTTCAAAGGCCCCCATCTGCACCTCCAAGTCCACACCAACCCCTTGCGCCGCGCATCACTACGTCGACCGTCTCTCCCGCCGCCGCCCCGTGCTCCTCGATCTGCGTATTGGTCGATACGACGCCGAGGCCGAACTTGCTCGACTCGTCGATGCCGAACGAGACGACGCGCTTCGCCTTGGCCACGCGCACGTAGTTGATGCACTCGCCCGCGATAGTGAGCTCCATGCGCCGCGCCCGCATCTGCCGCGCGGCCGGCTCGTGGTACACGACGTCGGGCGCCAACGCGTTGAGCACGTCGCTGATGATCTTGGGGACGGCGCCTGGTGGCGTGCGGCGCGACAGCGCCGCCCACTCCAGCGGCCGGAGGCGCCAATCGCCCGCCTCGAACCGCCCGCGCTTATTGCGGCGCTGCTGCGCCGCGCCGCCGCCCTCCTCCTCGTCACTCTCGCTCTCGCTCTCGCTCTCACGCTCCGCTCGCAGCTCCTCGACCTTGGTCTTGAGCTCCTTGACCTGGAGCTGCAGCCCGGGCAGCTTCGCCGCGTCGCCCTCGACGGCGCGCGCCCGCTTGCGCGCCCTCGCCACCTCCGTCTTCTTCACGTCGAGCGCCGCCGCGTGCGCGAGGCCGGCGTCCTCGAGCTTCTGGTTTGCGCGCGCGAGCTTCTTCGTCAGCATGACGACGCGCACGTAGGACGCGCGCTCGACCGCCGCGTCGAACTTCTGCTTGCGCGTCGCGAGCTGCGCCGCCCGCGCCGCCTTCTGGGCCTCAGAGTAGCCGCGCTGCTGCGCCTCCTTGAACTTGCGCGCGTCGGCCCGCTTGCGCTCCGCGCGCTTCTTCGCCTTGTGGAGCTTGTCGGCCTTGTCCGCGCGCTGCGCGCGGCAAACCGCCAGCTCGCGCTCGAGCGCCTCGATCTTCTGGTCCTTCAACCCGATGGTCGCGGTCAGCGCCGCGTTCTCCTCGACCATCGACGGCGCCGAAGGCAGCGCGGCGGCGGCCGGCGGCAAGCCGAGAGCCGCGCGCAAAACTGGGCCGCGCCTGTAGATTAGGTCGGCGACGCGCGTGGCCGCCCACGTGTTGAAGCGCTTCGGCGGCCTCTTGCGCGGCGGCTGCCCGCCAAGCCCGCCATTGTCCGGGTGTTTCTTAAGTCCGGAGTGGTACAAGAGCAAGTGGTCGACTGTCACGCCCTCGCGCGCGCCGCGGCCCTCCCAGCCATCCACCGCCTTCTTCACGGCCTCGCACGTCTCCTTGTGCCACTTGCCGTCTATGACCCGCTGAAACGGGTCGTAGTAGCCGGCGGGCGCCGCCGCCGTCGCCCAGCCCGCCTGCTCATCCGCAGCCTGCGCCGCGAGAGGCGCCAAACCCGCCGCCCATTCGGCGGTGTCCGCGGCGCTGGGCTCGAGAAGGACGATGAAGAGGGCGAAAATCAGCACCTCCGTATCCGTGGCGTCGGCGTGGTCCCGAACGAAGAACGTTTTGCCCTCGGAGGTGATGGGGGACAGGAGTTTCTCTCCTGCGCAGGCGTGCGAGCGAGCGTCAGCGCGCCGAGGTCCACTGCGTGTGACTGCACCCGCCGTGGCCGCGCGCACCGGGTCGGCCAGAAAGAGCATCGCCAACAGTCGCCTTGAGGGCCAGGGCGGCCCCGGGGAAGCCACCGTGCACCCGCCCGACCTGTGCAAGGTGCTTGGCAGCACTTGGTAGCTTGAGCGTGTCTCACAGCCCTGGCCGTGAAGCGCCCCCGCCCCGGCCTCCGGCGACCCGACGGCCGCCTCCGCGGCGGCGGCGCCCTGCGCGTCCAGCTGCAGCGCCATCGCCAGGGCCAAGCAAGCCGGGCCCTGAGGCCCCCGAGCAGTGCAAACATCCATCGCTTCCATGCCTCGAGGAGCGATCTACCGGTTCTCACCCGTCGGCACAGACGCCGAACGAAAACGCCTCTCAACCTCCTCGAGATTCAGTTTGGGTTTGGGGCTTGGAAAATCAATGTTTTGGTGGACCATATCCCCCCCTACCAGAGCGCGCGTAAACTCTAGTACTCGAACAACAAAAAGGAAAAAGGAAAAAATGCACGACAAGCCAGACCCGGCGCCCGGGTCGCGGCTTACGCTTCGACAGACGAGGACACCGCGGGCGGTTAAGCTGAAGGAGGGGTCGGAGCTCGGAGGCAGAATGTGTGATGTGAGGTGACACATTACGTCAGTACAAGCGCGACAGAGAGGGACTTCGCTGCGGGGCGTCCCCTGCGACGGCAGCGTGTCGACCTCGGCAGCGGCCCCCATCACCCGCAAGTGCGCGAGGCCCGCTCTCCGCTGTGCAGCCCGCCCGCCATGATCTCCAAAAACTGCGCCTTGAAGCGGCGTCCGGAGCCTTTCTCGATCACCTCGTCGACGAGCGGGCTCCGCCGCAGCTCCTCGAGCGAGGAGAGCGACTCGCCGGTGTGGATGATGATCTTGCCTCCGAATCCGCGCGCGCGCAGCCGCCTCGAGAAAGGCGTCGAGAGGCAGTCAGATACAGCCACGGCCCGAGATCTAGCCGAGACCTAGCCGAGATTTGGCCGCGATCGAGCCGAGATCTAACCGCGACCCGCCGAGCGCCTCGCGAGGTCGAAGCCGTCGCTGGGTATCGACGGCGCCCCGCCGCGGACGCGCGCGAGCAAGTGCTCGGGGCACCTGCCTCGCCAACCACCCATGCATGAGTGGAGGCCGGGGTGGGGCGAGCGAAGAGGAGCGTCGGGGCACGGAGGCGGCAGCGTTAGGTTGAGGTCGATCACCTACCCACCACCCCCGTGCTTGTGACACACCCACCACTCATCGTGCGGCAGCGACAACCCGAGGGGCGAGCACCGCCACCGAGGCGGCGGCGTGCGGCGGCGGCAGCTCCAGAGCGAGGGCCTGCGAAGGGGTCATGCCCCTTAATGGCACCTCTCCCCTGACGCCTCTCTCACGCCACCTCTCTCACAGCATGAGTCTCTCATCTGTGGCCGATGGGCCCGTCGGGGCGCCTCCGGGTGTCGCACGCCCATGATGACGTCCTCCATCGCAAACTGCTCCTCGTGCGTCACGCCGAGCGTGAAGACGGCGTGCGTGCCTGTCCACGCCGGACCGCTGTGTGAAGGGTCCGAAGGGCGAAGGCGTCGAGGCGAGAACAGACGCGGGCCCAAGTCTTTGAGCTGCGCCGCCATCACCACCTGCACCAACTCGTCGTCGTCGACCACAACGCAGTACGGCCGCCTCCGCGCCGCCGTCTCGCCCTACTCACGGCGGCTGACCCCGTCCGACGGAGCCGTGCGCTGCGAACCTCGGGCAATCTCCGGCTCTCGGCCGCCTCCGCCGCAGCCTCGAGACCAAGCGCCCGCTGGGGGCGAGGCGGCGAGCTGCCGCCGCCGTCTACAGCCGAGCAGAGACGCGAGGTGTGGCCGAGATATGGCCGAGATGTGAGGCGATGCGGCGACGCGCCGCCGCCGCCGCCGCCACCACAAGCCGCGTTCTGCGCGCCCCGCCGCGCCGGCATCCGCAGCCGGAAGACGGTGTGCATGCGCCCGTCCTCGCCTCGCCTCGCCTCCAGCCCAACCTAGCCCGTCCACTCCTTGATATGAGTCGGGGACGGAGCGGGGCCGCCTGCTGGCCGCCTCTCGAGGCGCCCGCCTCCCCCAGCGCCGCCTGCGCCGCCGCCCGCGCCGCCGGCAGCCCGATCCCGTCTGAGTGGCGCGCGGCGCGCTCCCCCTTTGAGCCGTGCTCAAAGGCGCGCTCAGCGGCGTGAGGGGTGAGGTGCCGGGAGCCGGCGGGGTCCAGAGAGTCCACCTGTGCGGGGGAGGAGCTGGGGGTGGCGAGGGGGTGGGGGTGACGAGGGGGCTGAAGAGGCGGCCGTTCAGAGGACTCCGGAGAGAGTGAGGAGGGGGGCAACGCGGTAGCGGGCAGGTCGATGGCACACCTCGAGGAGCACAGCCAACTCGTCGCCTATCAGCTGGGGACTCTGGACTCACCCCAAGCAACCAGCTGCCTCGAGGAGCGCCGCTAGCCGTCGCCGTCGTCGGCGGCGCCAACGGAGGCCGCGCTCACCCGAATCTGGATGTCGCTGCCTAGTTGACGGCGCGACCAAAGTCAATCAAAGGGTCACGGGAGCCCTTCCGACCCGGGGCGTCGCTTCCCTCGTCGCCGTACTTTCGCGCGTTGGACATCGCCTCCTCGAGCGCCAGCGCGGTCGCCGCGGTGTCGATCCACAGCCCCGGCGGGCAGTCGATCTGCAGCCTCACGCCGCGGCCGGCGAACGCACGCAGCAGGTCGTGCACCGCCACATGCTGCTGCGAAGTCTTGTACATTCCCCGCGCCTATCTCGCGTCAATCTCGGGGTCAGCCTCGGGCGGTCGTCGGTCCCTGGGGAGAGTGACCCACGCCCCGTGCCAGCTGCATGAAGAACTCGCGGCGGTGGATCCAAGTCACGCAGCCCTGAAGCACTTGCTGCGCATCGGCGAGCATCCTGTCGGCCGTGCCTACCGGAACTCTCAGCGGCGGGGTCGGGCGCGAGGGTCCGCTTGCTGCGTGTTGGCGCGTCGTGTCGGCCGCGCCCTCTGCGGCTGCCGGGGCGGCGCCGCTCGGAGAGCGCCGCGCGATGTCCTTGCGGGTGAGCTCGATCCAGTGGTCAATCAGGATAATCTTGTTTTTGAGGACATGGTTCAGGTGGGAGTCGGCGGCCGCAGACTCGCGCGACTTGTTGAGGGCGGCGACGTGCATCTGCTCGTTCTCTCGCTTGAGCTTCTCGAGCAGGTAGGCGAAGCAGGTGCCTAAGGGTGGCCTCGAGTGGTCTCGGGCTAGGTCTGCAGGTAGGCAAAGCAGGCGCCTGGTTCTCGGGACGTCTCGGAGATCTCGTGCGATCTTGGGCTTGATCTCGGGGGATCTCGAGCAGTAGGGCGACGTGCGCCGGTGAGAAGAGCGCTGAGGTTGGTGGCGATGAACTCAACCTGCGGTGAGGCGAGGTGGTGAGGCGAGGTGAGGTCGGCTTCTCAACAGCTAGTGAGGGGCAGGGACGGGCAGTCCATGTCTACGTCTCGAGACCTGCGTCATCCCCTCGACCCAGACGGGCGACGCGGTGGTGGCGGCGACGGCGATGGCGACAACGGCGCTCCGCTGAGCGTGCGAGAAGGTGCGGATCATGAGGATGATCGGGTACAGCACCATCGCGATGGAGTACATCCCGAGGATCAGAACGGGCGCGCGAATCGGCCGCTGGTGGAAGACCCAGGCGCTCATCACCCAGATGGATGCGTCCACCGCGCACATCAGTCGCGTGCCGACCCGCTGCGCCCAGCACTCGTCGGCTGAGTGGTGCAGACCCACGCGTATCACGATCACGCCGGCAAAGCACGGCCCCAGCGTGAGGGAGGCGAAGCGGAAACCTTCGGCGTCGAGCAAGGCGCCCGCCGCGAACATGATAAGCAGTGAGGAGGAGTAGAGAAGGTGGAGGATGTAAGCGCCGCGGAACTGCTCGGCTACCCAGTTCCGCTCTGCATCGCTGTCGGAGAAGGCGAGCGAGGCGGTCAGCACGTGCGCCCCGCCGTAGGAGGCTGCGGCGGCGGCACGGCGCACGCCGCGATTGCCCGTGGAGCGGCCGCTCTGCATCCGCCAGGATCTGGCGAGAGGCCTACATCATCCAGCATTTCGTTTCATTAAGCTCAGGAAGGTGCAGTGAAAATTCGTACACCCCGCTTAAATAATTTAGGAATTGCGACTTCGCCGCCTTTCCTGCTCTTTTTTGGTAAAAGAAAACTTTCGCGCGCTTCAGCAACGACCTCTAGCTGTCTCTCAGCTCTCGCCGCCGCGCCGGCTAAACATGGAGCGTCCGGTGCAGCCGGTGGCGCCACCGCTTGCGCTCGTTGAGAACCTGGACTCGCCCGCTCCACCGCTCGAGGCGGTGGATGCCGAGGTCGCCGCCGCGATCGACGATCTGGCGACGCAGGTAACCTGCGAGAGCTGCCACAGCTGCTACCGCGACCCCCAGGTCTTGGACTGCGGCCACCGCTTTTGCAGGGAGTGCCTCGAGCAGGCGAGCTCGGCTGACCGCTGCTCCCTATGCGCCACCTCCTTCCACGCCAGAGACGTCAAGCCGTCTGCGCTCTTCGGCGAGGTCTCCACGCGCTTCATCGAGCTCATCGGCGAGCTCCGGGCGCCCAAGCGCGCCCGCTTCGGCGGCCCGGTCTCGTGCAGCCTGTCCTCGGAGGGCGAGGCGGCGGCCCTGCGAGCGAAGCTGCGCGCGTTGGAGCGGTCGCTCCGCGCGCAGAGCGAAGTGCTGACTGCGAGCGTGAGCGGTCCCTTTGCCGGCCAGCTGCGGCTGCGCGGCGTCGAGTGTGCGCCGCCGGGCGATCAGCGGCAGCGGCTCTCCTCGCCGGGGCGGAGTGGGCCGGGGCGGGCGGTCGAGGGGCGAGGGGGGGAGGAGGGGCGACAAGGGCCGCAGCACGAGGTTCCGTGGCGGGAGAGCCTCGGCCAGCAGGTGGAGCAACACCAGCAGGTGGAGCAACACCAGGACGTGGGGCGGCAGCGGGAGGTGGAGCAACACCAGGACGTGGGGCGGCAGCGGCGGCCTGCGCCGGAGAGGCCTCCCGCGCCCGAGACGAGCCCTCCGCCCGAGCAGCTCCGACCTCTGCAGCCGAGAGAGGCGGCGGCGACAGCGGCGCCTCTCGCCGCAGCGGTCCTCTCCTCGTCGTCTCTGCTCGCCGTCTCTGCTCGCCGTCTCTTCACGACGGCGGAGGTGCGAGTAGGCGGCGGAGTCGACGAGCCGCCCCGCGACAGCACGCCCCTCCGCCCCGCCCTCGGCCAGCTGGCCGCCACCGCCTTCGAGGAGCGGGAAGGAGGGAGGCGAGCCCCCCCCCCCCGCCGCGGAGGGGCTGCTGCGGCCCGCTGCGGGCTCTCTCTTCTGTGGGACCCTGCTGAGGGCCGCTCTCTCGCTGTTGCGCGAGGCGTGCCCCCGGCCATTTGCTCTCACCTGGCACCCTTGGCTGCACGACTCGCGCGCGCGTGAACACGGCTCCAGGTCCCACATGACGGGTGAGTGCTAGATTTGCTTGGTTATTGCTAAAAATCTCTCTCTCGCCCACACTCCGACAAGAAATCTCTCTCTCACAACACCGTCGACTCACACCCCACACGATGCACCTGCCCTTGTCGGAACCAAGCCTCGCTCGGGATAGAAGAGATTTTTGCCAATACCTCGTATCGGGC